GGGGGGTTATTTATATTTATATGAGTTGAGGGGAGGCGCAATGACCGGCTTGTCGTCGTACGCCCCCCCCTCCGACACTAATTACCTCTCATCTTCCATCATTTCCCGCCCGACCCCTTCTTACCCCCCTGATTCTGTCCTGATTGAGGAAGGCGACACTCTGTGGGATTTCTATGAGCGTTTTGGGGTTAATTGCAAAGACCTACAGGATGCCAATAACCTTAAGGATGACCTTATTTTGGCGGGAGATGCGTTGAGGATCCCCAAGGTTACTTATCGACCGAAAGCCCACGTGGACGAAAACTTTCCCGCCAATTCCTCTTTCCCTCTCTCTTCTTCTCTTGCTCCCCTCTCTTCGTCTTCTTCTTTTTCTTCTTCTTCTTCGTCTAGAGAGCACGGGACGAAGAAGAAGAAGACGACAAAAGCCATTTTAATTCAAAAGGGAGACACGGCTTGGGGGATTTCCGAGAGATTCGGTCTGTCGTTGGCGGATCTCAAAGAGGTGAATGATTGCATACCAGAGGTGCTCTTTCCTGGGGATGTACTCCAAGTACCGGCGGATGCCGTCGAGAGACCGAAGGCATTGATCGATTTAAAAGGGGCCAAGGCGGATCTTAAAAGGCTGGCCAAGGCGGGATTATTTCCCCTTTTCTTCCCATTTCCACCTCCCAGAGGTTCGGGCTTTTCGTTTCCTTCCTCCTCTATGAATGCCCGTCCTTCTCTCTCTCTCTCTCTCTCTCTCTCTCTCTCTCTCTCTCTCTCTCTCTCTCTCTCTCTCTTGCTCTCTTTGGATGTCCTCTCTCGTCGGAATGCGCTCCGTTTTTCTCCCATTTCCACCTACCCCCGAGAGGCTCGTGCTTTTCATTACTCTCTCTCTATGAATGCTCCCTTCCTTCCCCCCTTCCCCTCTGCTGCCCCCCCCCTCCCCCCCCTCTCTCTCTCCCCAAAAAAAAACAAAATTTGATTACAGATTCGGGGTCCTCTCGCCGAGCGCAGAACGACCCCGGTTTCAAAAAATATCATTTAAATATGTACATATATATCGTCACAAACAGAACTGCCCGGTAAACCGTAGGCAGAGAGAGAGAAGAGGATAACAAACGAGGGGCTGTGACAAACTGTTTCGTCGGAGTTTCATACATATATATTTCTGGGCGTTTTTTTGGCCTGCCCGGTTTACCCGGGTGGCCCCCCCGGGCCCAACCGGGCGGGCGTCGTCCTCACTCAGAAAAAAACCGTATTAATTCACAAATTTTCAACTGCAAAACTAGGATCAGGCCTTTTAGGAGAAATAAAAA